ATCATGTGTATCAGTATTTAGAGTGCAAGGCAGAAGGAAGGCTGGATGGCATGGTAAACATAAAGTATGAGAATGAAGAGGGAAGAGAAAGAGATCTCTAAGTTGAGGTATTTGGGGAGAAATTGATGAAGGAGATGGTAGTACAATTATGCCTTGACTGAAGGAAGGGTAAGGATTTTGATAAGTGGATATAGGGGTGAGAGAAATGGAGAGAATCCATCCAGGTTGAGAGCACAGTGTGAACACATATAAAAGAGAAGAAAAAAGTGTGCTCAAGGAGTGGCAAAAAAATCTAGTTTATCAGGACCATGGAAAATAAGACAAGTTAAGGACTGCTAGATAGGTTATAACCAGGTAGGCACAAGCCTTGAATGATTCCTCAAAGATTTCATGCTTTTATTGACATTGGGGTTCAATATATGTATTCAGAGTTAGGCCTTAGAAGGATAATTTTGACATAAATGTGGAGAAAAAAAAAATGCAGGAGAGAATGGAAGAGGTGTCTTCCATAGATCAAGAGAGGAAGAAGGTCTTTATCAGTGAGAGAACAATGTACGTTACATGGTGAAGGTGGAGTCACATGATAGTGGTTAGCTAGGCCTGGGAGGTGTAAAAGAAGATAGTGCCTGCGTGATGGCTAAAGGTGATGCCATTCATGAATTGAGGCTGTGGCTTGAGAAGAACGAGGGAATGTATGAATGAAGTCAAGTTCCTCTGAGAATACTATCAAACTCCAACCAAGTCCTATTTCTAAGCATAATTCCATATGTGGGGTGTTCAAACCCAAACCATCAAAAGTAGTTCAGTTTTTGATAATATTTGTGCCCTGTTTAAAAGTATCTTCATGTACTATTATCAAATTTGATTTCAACACATTCAAATATTTCTCCCATTTGGTTCATGATTTCTATGATCAACCTTCATACTTACTTTCTAGATTTAAGTACCAACTCTTGGTCAAATATAACCCACACCTTAACTAAACTTGTAACTTCTGTTTAAAGGACCACATCACAAAATCCCACATCTATCACTTCACCTGTAATTATTCTTCTGCCTGGCAAGTTCTCACTTCCCATTTCTATTTGCCCATCCTCAGAGTCATGCTGAGCACCGCACTGTCATCACAAAGCCTACATTTACAGAGCTGATTGCATGTGTCCGTTTCTTCCTTTTAGATCCCCATGCTACTCTTTGCACTCCTATTATTCTGTTTTGCATTAAATCTTTGTGTAATTACTATACTGAATTATAAACTCTAAATATGAAGAAGATGTACATCTCTCCACTCCTTGCCCATAGCAGGTGTTCCTTAAACTTAATTAAAAACATACTGACTAACATCCATGTGGTGGTGGTTGTTGGGTGCCGTTGAGTTGATTTGGACTCATAGTGACCCCTGTGGTAGAGTACACCTGCCCCATAGGGTTTTCCTGGCTGTAATCTTTGCTGGGGCAGATCCCCAGGTCCTTCTCTCGCAGAGCCACTGGGTAGATTTTAACTGCTAATCTTTTGGTTTAGCACGCTACCACTTAATCTTGTGCCACTAAGGTCAACATCCATAAGTTATATTAAAAGTAGAAAAGTTCAGTAGGAGAATACAAATATATTCATTGGTAGCCCTCTTAATAAAATTAAGCTTAGTCTAAAAGGAACAGTGTAAGAAAGCGGATTGGAGCAATACTGCTCATCCTTTAACGTGTGTGCAAATCACCTGGAGATCTTGTTACACACAGATTCCTGTCCCAGTCACATAGACTGATTCAGTAAGTCCAGGGTGGAAAAAACAAACAAATGAGCAACTACCTGCCGTCAAGTCTGTTCTGACTCACAGCAACCTCCACTGGGGTTCCAAGGCGGTAAATCTTTACAGAAGCAGACTGCCTAATTTTTTTTTTCCACAGAGCAGCTTGTGGGTTTGAACCACCGACCTTTTGGCTAGCAGCCCAATGCCTTCACCACTTCACCACTGCTATAGGACCCCTGAATTTGCATTTCTTATAAACTCCCAGGTGCTGCTGAGATTGCTGATGCCACTGGTCTGAGGACAACATGTTGAAGAGCACAGGCTTAAGGGCTGAATTTTTCATCAAAATGCCTGAGCTTAAATTCCACTATTTGCTAGTTTGCTGAGCCTCTTTAAGCGTCAACTTCCTCATCTGAAGGAACTCTGTAGCACAGTGGTTAAAGCATTTCACTGCTAACCAAAAAGGTCAGCAGTTGGAACCCACCAGTTACTCCAAGGGAGAAAGATGAGGCAGTCTGCTTCCATAAAGATTTACAGCCTTGGAAACCCTATGGGACAGTTCTACCCTGTCCCACAGGGTCCCTGAGTCAGAACCAACTCATGGTAGTGGGTTTGGTTCCTGATCTCTGAAATGACAATAGTAACAGTACCTTTTGGGACTGATATGAGAACTCAAACAGCTGATCTGTAACATGCTTCTGTCGGTACCTGTCCCTTACTACCCGTCCCCAAAATTGAGTTTTACTGTGAGAGTTTAACATGACAAAGAAGGAAATAACCTCCTAAAGGACAGAGGTTGTTAAGCTACATCCTCAGGCCAAATGTGGCTTACTACCTGTTCTGTCGGTGTCACTGAACTAAGAATGCTTTTTACATTTTAAATGGTTAGAAAATATCAAAACAATATACAGTGAAGATTGGGCAATCTACTTCCATAGAAGTAATGCCTTGGAAACTCAAGAAGGGGTCACTATGAGTCGAATCAACTTGGTGG